AATAAGGTTAAAAATTAAGGCATATTCCTTAGGGATGATATTGCTTACCATAGAAGCTGATGATTCCATTTGGAAGGAAAAACATAAATATTACCATGAGGCACCAGCAAATGATTTTCATCATCCAACCTCCATGGTGCATGCTGTCACGCGGGTCTTTCTGATTCTTCACGCCAATCATTAAGATTGCTAAGATAGTGAAAAATAGGAAGTTTCCCAGACTAACCCGAAGCACAGCATCTGTCTCAAACCACTCTCTGTTCGGTGTCGAATGAAAGCTATTAATCCCTGCAATGTAATGAACATTAAAGATGTCTTGGAATATCAGAAAAGCCCTAAGAGTAAAAAATATAATGTCAGCCAAACTATATCAAAATAAAGGTTGTAGACTTAAGGCGCTACTGATAAGCTCACAATATAACCTCAAAGCATTAACTGGGGCTGAAAGGGACAGTAGAGAGTGAAAAAGACACAACGCACACACACGTAAGTATTTCATCCTACGACTCAATGATGAGCCATTTGCACACAAGAAAGCTTGCCAGAGCTTCACCATTGCTAATCACATAATCAAAGACTCGACGCTTGATACCAGATAAATTCGGAAAGCAAAGCAAGCAAGCCAAAAGAGTTTCTGGCCATAAGTATATTTGACCTTCATTTATTTTCAAAAAGAGTTTCACCACAAGTAACAAAGGACAGCAAGCTCTAGTTTGCATTTTTGTTCTTAACTTTTTCATTTCTAAAATTTTAGCAGTATGGAGCACTACCTGACCATTATAACCTTTGAGGAAGATTCTCCTTCAAAGCTTCTCTAGTTTTTATCACCTAGCTTTCGTTAATCTTCAAGGAAGAACACTGAGAGAGAGTACATTAACTATTCATTAATTATCTAAGCTCGCAATGCACCCAACTATGTGGGTCTTCCATCCTTCATCATCTTATAACATTCCTAATAACCAAAGATGCAATTGGGAGTTCGCACTCATCATTATTGCATAGACCAGTTTTCCAGGTCGAATTGACATGGCTGAGAACAAATCATAGGCTGACATGTTCTACAAATTCAAGATGTAATCTTTCTCGAGATTAATAAAATTTTGATTAGTAGAAGGGGTTATAAATCCCTTAACTATCAGTTTAAAACATAAGTCCTTAATTGGCCCCATGAGAAGCATCAAATTACTAACAAATCCTTGTTGTAGATACAAATTTGATTTGGTATTTCGTAGTTTTAGCTGAGAATGACTTATATTTTGGTAATAAACCTAGCTTTTCCAAATTAACATTGATAGCTCAGTATCGAAAATTCAGAGAGACTGAGTTGGATGAAGATGCTTAAAGCCAATTTCACAAGAGGTGGACCATAGATATAGCAATTAGCCATTTGTACATCATGGTGCCAATGTAAAAATTGAAGTTAATACCAAACAACAGGAGAAAGCTCTGACAAGTAAAAAGCTCATGTATCATAATTGGGGGGAAAAAAACTTACATGGTATTTTCTCCATTAGAGGAGCAGCAACCTCTCTAAGAATCCACGAGACAATGAGTGACAAAGCGAAAAGACCACAATAGGCAATCCTGGCGGAACGACGGCTGATCCCTGACACAACCGTACGGCAAGCGTCACAAGCGCACGCCGCGCAGCATGACGCAAGGCAAGAAGCTGCCCACATCTTCACAAAAGCCTCTTAATCTAGCTCCTCCTCAAAGATTGTCCAATAGCAAACCCTGAAATCCCAAAATTGAACCTTTTATTGCACACGAGAAAAATTCCGTCGATCAATAAATAAAATTCAAGCAATAATTAGGAGAAGTGATCGGTAAATTTGTTAAGGAGATCGTCTTTCCAATAAACCCTAAGTACGGGAATTAAGAAAACGACAAACGAGCCATGAATCAATAATCATACAGTGGTAATATAGGGAAGAGAAAGTCCACCGGAGGGTTTAACTAGAAAGATAGAAACTACACCTTATAGCGATGGAGAAAGAAAGACGACGGATGATCGTGATTTGAACAAGAACTGAAGATGAACCTTCTTTTACGACTTCTGCAATCAACAACCAGAAAAGGCATAAGTGGGCTCCTTCGAGTTGTCAAGTGGACGAATGTGCATGAGTCGCATATACTACGATTTATAAGTCCCATATACTACGATTTATAAGTCGCAATTTTTAATGCAATATGTAAATCGCAAAGTAATTATCTTCGCAGTAGCTTAATGCGATTTACACTCGCAATGCCAACCTCATTCCTAACCCCTGCTATTTATTTAGAGCCGTTTGGATTAACTGATTTGAAGTAGCTGAAAAGTACTTTTAAGTGATGACACTGATTTAATAAATAAACAGTTACATGTTTGGATACAAGTGCTGAAATAGATAATAAGCTGCTGCAGTATTTGATAAAAAAAAGTGTTGATAAGCTCTTTTTTCGTTAAAATGACTTAAATAATCTTAGAATTGTTTATACTTATAAGAGCATAATTTCTTCAAAATTTTAGATTCCAGATCGATTCAAATACAAAATATTATATTTGTCATTTTATTTTAAATACAACTATGCTTGGATAAGATAATTTTTATGATAAATATAATTTATTTTATGATAGCATATAATCATAAGTTATAGTAATAAATAATAAATTGACAAAAAATAAACCTAAATAGGGCAAAATATTTGAAAAGAAACAAACACTGTCTTCATCACCACAACACTTAGAAAGCAATATACCAAAAATTTTATATGTCCTCGTTTATTACATACAGTTCAAAGATTAATACACAATCACATAGATTCAAATATGCAAAAGAAATAGAGCATTTGCTTAACTTGAAGAGGCGGGGGGGGGGGGGGTGTTAGGTTAAAAAGAATACTTGATGTAGTGTGTATCGATGTAAGAGTTTTGTTCTAAAAAGGAATATTTTAAGGATAAAATAGTAAAAATCTTGGTCAAACTTAAAGTGCTTATAAGCTAAAAGTTCATAAGCTGTAGGTGGCCAGCTTATGGCTTTTGGCTTATTTTTGACTTATAAGCACTTGGCTTATAAGCACTTCTAACTTTACCAAACGTTTAGATAAGCCGAAAAGTGCTTATAAGCTAGTTTGACCAGCTTATAAGCTTAGCCAAACACCCTAGCAGTCCCAAGCATCTTTGTCAATACTCCGTTTGCCCCCATCGGGATTGGTATTTACAACTGCGTATATAAGTCATATTTACAAATGTGATTTTAAGTAATTGCAATTTATTAATCCATTTCTAAAACACGCTTCATAAGTTGTATTGTGAAGGGTTTGTATTTCTTACAACTTGTTAGGATGGTTGTTACTTAAATTTTATTGTATCTTATTGTTAAATTCGTCGTTACGTAACAACGAAAAGTGTCATCTTATGGAACGACCGATTGGATGTGGCCGCGTAGTTTCCTTATTTTTTTCTCTCATATTGCCTTTCCATATTATTAAATGATCCTAGTTGTTAAAATAATAAAAGAAGAAGAAGAGTAGTGCGGAGAAAAGTAGAGGGAGAGAATTCTTATTGATTTGTGATGAATTACAATGGAATAGAACTCTCTATTTATAGGGAAAGAGTGACTTAGCCACCAAGTAAAAATCCCTAGAATCTCTCTAAATATATAAATTCACCATAAATAAAATTCTATTTATAACACTCTCCCTTGAATGTCTATTCAACAGATAATGTGTCTCGTTAAAACCTTAACTAAAATAAAACCCAATGGGAAAAAAAAATCTAGAAAAGGAAAAAGAGTACACATATCTACAATACGCCTTTTGGTTGCCTCGTTAAAAACCTTGCAAGGAAAACCCAGTGGGACAAAACCTTGTAAGGGGAAAAGAGTGCAACGCGCATTAACTCCCCCTGATGAGAGCATCAATTCACATCATTGAGTGTTCGCATCGCAATCTTGTGCACCATCTTCAAAAGATCTTTGGTAGAGATTTGATAAATAAATAAGCCATATTAACTTGAACGAATTTGTTTCACCTTGAAATCATCATCCCTAATAGATGTATTGTCTCGTATGATCTTGTTGGAATCGTCAGTTCAATATCTTCACATAGAGGTGAAACTCTCACTATCATATTATCATGCCTATAGTTATAGCAAGATACATTTGTGCACAAATTGCACTGAGGAAGTGGTACTTCAAGATCAAGAATTGTATATGCTTCAAGCAACTTAAATCCTTCATGGATTATCACATAAGTTAAGTCATATAAGCCATATAGTAGACTTTAGATGCATATCAAGTTTTCATGTCATGCTAGACATATAAGATATCGAAAACTGATTGCACATACCATTGACTTTATACTTTCAAGTATTTGAACTACATGTTCAAAACTACATGTCTTTCATATGAAACCAATTCTATTCGAAATTGTTTCTCCAGGCTTAAGATCCTCATATATATTTAGCGCTATTATAGATGTCGTCGACAAATATTTTATATAGGTTTCAACCTCCTTATTTTTCATAAAGACATAACATAGAGATCTCTTCATTCATATATTCATGTACTTGAATCTCTCATGAGATTTAATGAAGTGTTATGTTATGTGATCTTCTAGTTCACTTGCCTCATTATTATGATCATTTTGATCATTTGCTCATCTTCTTTATCAAGAAGTTTATTTGAAACCGATTTGTCTATACGCCTTAAGCGTACCACAGACTTTGTCCTTCTAGGACTTAATAGGAGCATTTGCATTGAGATTATAGTTACTTTCTTTGGGTCAGCAAATGCGTCTGGCGTGCTTTGCAATATATTGCAAATGAATTATCTCTATGAACTTCGAGTTCATATTATCTTATTCGAGGATCTAGATGTACAAATGATAATTCATTCCACGTAACTTTTTCTCAACTGTTTTATCATGTCTCCCCCTCATGTTAGAAAAACTAACTTGTTTCCTCAACTTTGAGAACCCATCTTTGTGCGTTATGGTGTTAATCATAATATACACCGCACATCAATAATAATAAGATGGAATTATTTGGTTCCTGACCCTGAACCACTTGTGAGGGGAGAAAATAATATACTTTTGTATATAACGTATATCAAACTGATATATATATAACATTGTTCTCATAAGCAATAGTTTAACTATTAAGTGGAGGCACTCAATAAATTATTTTGCTAAACCAACTGTGATGTAAGCCAACATATCAAGATAAACCGTCTTGAATGGAAAATATGAAAATTATGCTCGGAATTAATTATTGAGCAAGTTACCTCGCAAAACACCATGTTGCGGGTTATTAATAATCGCACATGTAACCATCTCATAGATGCATCTTATGTGGTATATATGGCAGGTGAATGGGCCCATATTCACCTTTGATATTCCAGCATTCATGGGATTCATTCCCACTTTTAGTTGGTCTATTAATTAATGAGAACAAGCAATGTAAGAGAATTCGTAAAGAACTTTCTAGTTCTTTAATATTTACCCATGTGAATTCTCTTTTATTTTTTTTGCACATCATACTTGAATTGACATGGCTAAACCAATTATGCCAACTGGATAAATTATCAACATTGATAAACTTCAGGGTTACACCATGACGTGTGCAATTATCAATAAACTCCAAGTTTATTATGATATGGGTTTTTATATCAATATATATCCACTTCATTGTGGTATTCTTTTGTTTATGTAGTACAAATTGGAGAATAAAGCGGGTAGCTTTTCACATACATATTACCCCGCTACAAGTTGTAGTAATAGAAGATATTAAATCTTTCCTTTATTTATAGTCTCAATTTAATCAACCGCTTTCGTGTATACTTTGGAAACTGAATAAGTTCCTTTGAGACTTACTACAACACAATACCTTATTGTAATTAATTGTGTTTCTCCAAAATAGTATAATTGGCTCTTGCAGAGTTCTCAATTAGTTTTGTAGTACCACATATTCATCAACACCCATATGGTGAATATCTGTTATACCATTATGGTTATGATCAAAATTATATGCAAGTTCTGTTTCTTGCATTACCGCTGTCTTTTAATAATCACAACGCCAAAATATTTTGGCGTACAATAGGTACGTGACCAATGACCATTCATGCCATAATAATGACATTATTTTCTTATATCATCTCAAACCTCCTTTTAGAGGTGAGTGCGGTATATTCACTACCACTAGCACGTTCATATTCTTTGAAGAATGAATATGTATTCATAAATCAGATGTTGTCACATTCACATCATGAATGGACCATAATCATCTATATATGCTTTACAAAATCTCATGTGAAATCGATGACAAATATTTTTCACAGAGTGAAAGATTATTTTGAGAATCCTTATTGTTCTCATTACCACAAATGATGACGACGATTATAATTTCGTCTATTGCCACGTCCATATCCATCGATACATTCATAGTAATAATTTTATCTTCTTTCAGACTTTTCACATACTGCTATCACATTCTCTTAAGGGAATGAGAATGGAGCAAATTCAATGGGACGGGTTTTCAATTCTTTGCCCACAATCATACATGAATTTGATCATGGCGAGGCATAGAAATTTTACCACTTCAGATGGTTATAATTTCTTACAAACTCCATTAGAGTTATAATCAAACTTTGTTGTCTTTGCTTGTATTTAAAATCAAAGTATAGAATAAAAGAGAAAAATACAGTAAAATACTTACCTTAAATCCAGAATTTAATCATGAAGGAAGTTCATGGAATAATTGACAATCATTATGCTCAATCAATTGGTTAGAGTCTCGTGCTGATAACGTGTTATAAAATAATAAAAGAAGAAGAAGAGTAGTGCAGAGAAAAGTAGAGGGAGAGAATTCTTATTGATTTGGGATGAATTACAATGGAATAGAACCCTCTATTTATAGGGAAAGAGTGACTTAGCCACCAAGTAAAAATCCCTAGAATCTCTCTAAATATAGACATTCACCATAAATAAAATTCTATTTACAACACTAGTTATCTTTATCTACTTTTCTATATAATAATTATACCTCGTACCTTACTTTTTTTTAAAATTGCAAGTTTATTCTTCATATTGTTGGTGCATGACATCATGAAACAACGAAAAATAATACAATCTATTCAAATATTGTACACATCCAAA